CTCACTAACAGCCACGCATTTTCATCTAGGAAAACAGGCTCACTCATTAGGAAATAGTGCTAATAACTCTATTGTATAGGGTATCTAGTACTTCTCTCTAATATCTACCATGTCGGCAACAGTTACCTTTAAATGAATATTAGCTTCCTCCTAACCTACACCATAATCTAGATGACCCTCCCTCATGGACAAGACACTAATGGCATTGACAAGGTCGGCAGTGCTGGTTATAGTAACCCCCATCTCAGAAACTATTGCCCTAATGTCAGTCTCATTTCCCCAGAAGATGAAGAAGACATGAAATTCAAATGAAAGATAATATTTGTCGAGAGATAGAATTCAAATACAACACAAGTTACTGAATTTCTTAAAACTAGCCGAAAACGATTAATGACTGTAAGTAAAATCACAGAAGGCTCAAGAGCTTTTGAGAGTTTTGGGAGTTTGATTTCTTCTTTTTACCAAAATAAAAAATGATTTTTCATAAAATCGTAACCTTTTATAGGCGAGGGTCATTAACCTCAACCGTTGGATTTGGATCCGAACAGTTCAACCGTTCATTTAAAATTCAATCTGAGCCACCCATAAACGTTTTTCATTTCGTATTTTACAGTTCAAATTAGAGCATCTGACCCATTCGTGCATACATGTCCACCTCCCAAAACACGTCTATGCCACTCATCATTACTCATTAAATATGGCGACGGTTGCATGTATGAAAAGTTAAACCATTTTAGTTGTTTTTTCCTGAAAACATATTGGACAATAAATCATTTGGGCACAATAATTAAGGACACCTTGTTTTCCTAAATTTTCAAAAAACATACCTATTCAAAGTCAATACATTGCAACCTCAACAAACGGCAGAAGTACCCGACTTCAGCTCCGACATGAATAGCTTCGATAAGGGCCTCAGCTGATCTAAATCGTTTCTTCGGGCAAACTGCCTTGGCTAAATGAACATTGGTTGACCCTTTCCAAACATTTTCAAAAAATATGCAGATTTGAAGTACACAACTTATAACAACAAGAATTTCAGCTCCATCTTTAAGATTTCAGTAAATCACAAGGTGACGGTTTTCCCTATTTCAAAGTTCTAGACAACCACCACGTACTTAGAGCAAATCCTAAATATCGTCATTCTACTTTCAAATTCTAATTATAATATAAATGTTTATATTTAAACTTGGGGGACTATTGTGTGCCGAACAAAAATTTTGATAAGAGAAGTCAATGCATTATATGAATAATCATGCAGAGACTCAAGGGACTATTGTAACGCATCACCACCGAAGCTCCAAACTTACCTTACGTGATAGTCCACGTGAAGACACAAATCAAGTTGACGAAGTCAACAAAGACCCCAGTTGGTCAGAGTGGCAAAGGAAAGAAGTGGCACAGTCAAAGAAAAGACTTTGAAGCTCCCCATGCCGAAGACATCCATTCCGAATCTCCCTTTAGCCAAAGCCCTAACTGGCTCTCATAGGATCAACAGTCAATCTTTAGAAATGATTAATGTAACGTTTGTAATAATAAATGGCAAGTCTGTCAGCCTAGGACATTGGGTGGTTGACCTGTTGTTAATGATTAAATACGTAGCAGTCTAGTGATGTGATGCTTCGATCTGGGAGATGAGGCCACATAGTTCTTATCCAACGGTTACCACTTCAGCCAGAACTCTATAAATATTAACTCTTATAATGTATGAATCTAATGCAACTCTTTACACTTAAAAGCCATTTTCGATATTCTCTAGTTTATTCCTGTTTACTTGATTTTAGATCATCTTATTTTGATCGAGTCGTTAATAGATGATAATTAATATGCAATCACATTTAATCATATCGTCAATGTTTGAATATTTTTACCTCTCATGTTAGGGCATCTCCTATGTTCATATATATATTGATCTTATCTGACCAAATTTTCGATCAAAACATGTTGGAACTTGCTTACGTGGAAGCGAGTGGGCCTGACATCTGTTATCCACTTTATCTTTGCAAAAAGTGAGGTCAATAGGTAATATGTTTAAGAGTATATATGCACGTGTAATTACCGATTGTAATAGAGTGACTATTTATCCCTACCATGCTTGAATAGTTGAAAAACTATATAGATTCTAGCCAGTGTTGCATCAAACGGGTTAGGCATCTCTTGTATGTCATTTGATCCTTTGAAATCTCACAAGTACAAGGTATTGTAATCAAGAGCCCGTTTGATAAGGATTAAAATTCAATTAAAATTGAAAATATAGTCGTTATTGGGTCCCACTTGTCTAATAAAAGTCAACAATAACGGTTAGTTTTTCAATTTTTATCCGATTTTAATCTTTACCGAACACGCCCCAAGTAATAAAATGATGAATAGAATACCAAATCCGCGAGGACTACGTGTTTGATCTAATTAAATAAAGTTAACAATATCCTTAATTGAATAATAAAAGTAATTTGAGTTTGTCTATGCTAATTTCTAAGTTATTAACTAAGTGAAAGCAAGTAAAATTGGTTTTCAAATATGTGAGAAGTATTGCTAAGATGTCGAATTCTAACTGTTAATACATTTTAGTTCAACAATTTAAAATGATAATTTGAAATCATTATTGTTGATCAATGTTCATATTTTAATTAAAAATCTCTCTCGATAACAATTAAATTTATTCCTATATATGACATTCATATATCTCTATGAAAAATGCGAACATACAAAAAAACATTGAACGTGCTACAACACCTATAGAAACCATATGAAGCATAGCAATATATCTTTATCTCATATCAAACTTTACAATATTTATTATTTTGTGCTAATGATCCTATTGTCGCTCTTGATAATAACAAAATCCACAAACAATTCAATTAGTGGTCAATTAATTGAAAATCATGAAAAACGATAACAAATATCCAAGAATTTAAAAAGCAAAATAAAATTAAACTAATTTATGAAAACTTAAAATATTATAATAATGGTACATCTCATCTAGCGGTGGCAACGAGTCGAGCCGAGCCCGAGCTTTTTTGGACCGAGCTTTTTTTGGCCCGAGCCGAGCAAGGCCCGGCCAAAAAAAATGAGGATCGGCCCGAGCTTTAGGCCCGAGCCTTA